AATCCAGACAGGTCACAGTAGGAATGGTTTATTTCAGCTCCACAATGTCTGGGACCTCAGCTAGAGTACTCAAAGCCTGGGGACTGGAATCATAGGAAAGGGTGTTTACTCACACATCTGATAGTTGATGGTAGCTGTCAGCTGGGGGGCTAGCAGGGGCTGTCAGCCAGAACAAAAGCATAACCTCTCCATGTGCCCTGTACTTCCTGGTAATATTGTGGCTGGGTTCCAAGGGCAAGTGTCTTAAGAGGGAGACAGCCAGGTAGAAGCCATATTGCCCTTTATGACCTAGCCTTCAAAGTCACACAGCATTACTGCTACCATATTTTATTGGCTGAAGCAGTTACAAAGGTCCTCTGAAGTTCAAGGGGAAGGATTACAACTCCATCCTCAATGGAGGACTACTAACATCTCATTGTAAGAAAAGCATGTGGCATGAGATATATGTTGGCATGGCCATCTTTGGAAATTGTCGCATAGCACATATTACATATATCTATATATATCTCTTACCTTGTTCATATTTGTCTTTGTCGATTTTAATTACACAACTAATATACTGATAATATAAAACTTATAAAAAATGAATACACATTGGGAGGCTGAGGCAGGAGAATCACTTGAGCCTAGGAGTTCAAGACCAGCCTGAGCAACATAGTGAGCCCTTGTCTCTACAGAAAATAAAAAAATTAGCTGGGCATGTAGTCCCAGCTTCTTGGAAGACTGAAGCAGGTGTATCACTTGAGCCAAGGAATGTGAAGTTGCAATGAGCTAAGATGATGCCACTGCACTCTAGCTGGGCAACAGAAATGAAACCCTATCTCAAAAAGTTAAAATTAAAAAAAAATTAAAACAAAACTATTGATAGCAGCTTGTGAATATTCCCATTAACTCACCGCAATTCTCTTTTCTCCTATCCAGGGTTGTTGCTGATGTCCAGAGTTTGGTGCACATCCTTCCAGGACCCTTTCTGTGCATCTATATACAGTACTTATCTATATTTACAGCTATGTACTCACACATTTACAAAAATCTTTTTTCATTAATAACAAGCTATTGGTTGGGCACAGTGGCTCATGCCTGTAATCCTAGCACTTTGGGAGGGGAGGTGGAAGGATCACTTGAGGCCAGGAGTTTGAGACAAGCCTGGACAACATAGGAAGACCCCCATCTTTACAAAAGTAAAAAACTTAGCTGGGTGTGGTGGCACATGCCCGTAGTCCCAGCTACTTAGGAACCTGAGCCAGGAGGATTGCTTGAGCCCAGGAATTTGAGGTTGCAGTGAGCTATGATGACTGCACTCTAGCCTGAGTGCAACAGAATGAGACCTTGTGCTCACTTTGGCAGCACATATACTAAAATTGGAATGATACAGAAAAGATTAGCATGGCCCCTGTGCAAGGATGACATGTAAATTCGTGAAGCATTCCATAAAAAAAAAAAAAAAAAACTGAGACCCTGTCTCCAAAAAAAAAAAAACAGACTATTGCAAATATCATTTTGCTTATTTTTCACTTTGTAGAAGGTGCTATTATTGCCCCCATTTCACAAAGAAGTGGTCATGCTGAGATTCTAAGCCCGATCATCTGACTATAGAGCCTATCCTCCTTCCACAATGCTGTACCCCTTCTCAGTATTTTATAGTATGAATGTGTGGTCATCTATTTTAGCAGTACCCTATTGATGTCATCTGTTTCCAGTTTTTCACAATTATAGATAGTGTTTCCGTGAACACCCTTGGATGTACTACTTTTTGCATAGTCCTGAAAATGTTTTGGATTTTATTTCTAGAAATGGATTTGGTGAGTCAACTGCTATGCTCATTTTATATTATAATGGACACTGCCAAATCATATTTTTTAAATGCCTCTGGTTCTTTCAGTCTGGCTAAAGGCCAAGCACCAAGTTATTAGCTATAATGGTGAGCAAAGAAGACCACAATACCTGTGGTCAAGGAATTTGGTCTAGTAGGATATGCAGAAATTAGTGGAATAGTTCAAAAATAATTATGAAATTATCACTGTGAGGAGTTTGGTTGGCTCCATCCTCAGCCTCTGTTCCATCTACACTCATTCCCTAATGAGCTCATCCAATCTCTTTGCCTTAGTACCTCCCATACACTATGA